GCATTGACTTGGAGTGTCACAGTGGGGGTTGTTGGTGACCTCCGTCACGCCTCTGGTAGTCAGTTGAAATAACCAAGTTTTTTTTAGAAGCCAATTTGTTTAAAAAATGGGAAACAAGTGGGAATCTTAAGGAATCATTAAGGGAGGATAATATGACTCTAATAGAGACTTGACTTCTTTTAAAAAAGAACACACTTCATAAATAATAATTTAACACACAAAAGGTGTTAAAAAAAGTGGCTAAAGACCACTTCAAAAAGTTCTTGTGCCAGAAACTGGAGGAACAACCATTGCCTTCATCACAATAAAAGGTTAGACTCATAACAAGTGAGATCTCGTTGAGTGAAAATGTGAAGCTTTATGCTAAAAAAAAGAAGAAAAATAAGTGGGAAGTGTGGTCCTAGATGTTTGAGTTGTGAGTTGGTAGAAGAGTTAATCAAATCCCCGCTCTTGAAACGGGAAAGGTAACCCTTTGATCACATGTTTAATCAATTGGAATTAGAAAAGTAAAACTAGTTATTTCTTTTGAAGAGTACTGGCGTAACAGTAGGAAGCTGGTGAGCTTAAACTTGTGATCACTTTAGGGCCGATGCAAAGTTGAATTTGACTAATTTTTGAAGCATGCCAAAAACCTATCTAAAAATTTGAGTGGCCATATTGTTTAATCCTGATTGGTTGTGATTGAGGTTTTCTTCTGTCGTTCACTGTCGCATCACCTAGGCACAGGTGATAGTTCAAGTTTGGGGGATTGATAGTGTAATTTCAGTATGTCATTATGATCCATTTTCAAATAGGTTTTAGTTTAAGTTTAATGTTTGTTCAATTATTTTTTCTATTTTTAGCTTATTTATATTTAAAAATGCTAAGTGCTTCCTTTTGTAGCTTTATGTGTGTTTTTGTGATAAAAGACAACTTTAAGGCAAGATGAGACAGGACTGGCTAAGACAATGTCTAGAGTTTGAACAATTAGAAGAATTTGGAAGCGCTGAGGATCACAATCATCAAGTCACCAAAAGCTTGGAGGGAAATTTGTTTATAGGGCTTATGTGGCAGGAATATGCTTGGGAAAATTAAAGAGGCAACAAGATAAAAGCAATTGCACATGAAGACAAAATGCATAGTACGGCGGGGACTACGTCTGCAAAAGCACATCCCGCACTAGCCATCCACCGCCTGCGTTTCTACACCACTACCTGCTGTAGCAGGCGGCTTGTCTCCCAATGTTGTCTATACTGAAAACTTGTTCATTAAGAATGAAGGACAGCTAGAGAAATTGTTGATTTTATTTGGGATGAAATCTCATTTAAATCAAAGGCCCAAGATCCAAAGCCTACCAATTTTCACATCTACATTTAAACCTATAAAAGCCAACTGTGAGAAAAAGAATAGAAAAGGAGGATGATTCACACAAGCAGTTTTAGTTTTAAGTAGTTTTCATTTATTAGAGTTAGTAATAGGAAGAATATCATATTCTCTTGTATTCACTATTGCGAGCTGACGTGTCTGGAGACATTTGTTGCTATTTATCCGACACAAAGGAACTCAAGTTGCTATTAGGTTGTAATAACTTTTACATCTTTTGTTTAAGTATGCTCTCTAGTAGTTTTAGTTTAGTGGTTTGTACTAAGCCCATTATGGGCAAAACACTTATATGGTGAAAAAAGTGAATTAATATAAGGTTGTATTTATGTTATACTGATGTGTGTGGAGTGTTTTATTTTGTTATGTGTTTTTATGCAGTACACCTGCTTCTTAAAACGATCAACTCGAAAAAAGGTAAAAGCTTGTTGTTGTGAGAGATCCAACAACAAGTGGATTTCATAACAAAAGGGGTTAAACAAGTAGGATAGAGATATTCACTTAAATTATCTTGCTTAGAGATAAGAAGCTAAGGACATAAAGGATTTCCAGAATTAACACCAGACATACTTTAGGGTTATAAGTGAGACTTAGAGATTTGTTCCCTTGCCCTAGTAATGCATGCTTGAATGCTGTAGAGATACACCATAAGATTATGTTCTGACCTTTTGAGGCACGATATTGCACATCAGTGATGCATTTGAACTACTAATGTATTAATAGATCTTAGCTCACCACTCACTCTCTTGATATTTCTTTTCTCCCATTTGGTAGTTTTCGTTCTGTAGTGTGGACTCCTTTTACTTATTATTAACTGATATTTGTTACCAGACTCATAATTTTTTTAAACAAATAGTATTTACAAAAGTTCAATATAAATCTCTTCCACTCTCTGTGGATACGATATCCTTACTTTATTACTTGTTGCAATCAAATATACATGTATACTTGCATGTGACACCATAGTTTTAAGCTATATTGCTAAGAAGAACCAACATTGACCAACTTGAAAGTATGGGGAATCTGCCTATTTTGAACTTATCTACCTCACTCTGTAAGGTTCTTGAAGGAAATTTCCTTTAAAGGAAGATGAGAGAGAGAGATTACACCATGATATGGTCGGGGATGATTTGACCAAGTGTCTGAATCTTATATCAGTTTTCCTTTGATCAACCGGTTCTTAAAGTATTTTACTTTGGATCTTTGGAAGTTGAGCTTCACTATATTCTTGAGATGACTTGCCCCTGATTAAGCATCTTGAGGGGCTTGCTCCAGATTTGACTGAGTATTCTAAAGTGATTTGCCTCCATGATCAAACTAATACTTGGAGATTGGTCTTTGACTGACCGGTTGGCTATTTAACATAGTAATTGGATGCCATGCCCCTGATTCATAGGACTATGAGGTGGTCTTGATTCAAGCCAGCATAGATGAATGATCAAGTTCCTCTATGACGGCTTCTTAGAATTTCATTAATTCCAAGTACTTTCTTGCATTTAAAATTGTTCATTTGAAAATGGTAATCTCAATGTGATGCTCATGCAGATCTTACAAAGAATCATTTATTGGAATGATGTGATAGTGTGTGGCGAGTGGATCATTAGCCCAAACACAATGTTGATTTAACTATTGTGAAGAATATAGCAAGAATATGATATCAATACAGAAGATTAGCAAACTCTAAAGTGAGTTTACGCAACCTTGTTGTAGTATGCTTTCATAATAAACTATGCTTCAATTAGGTCTTTTGAGGGCTGTAGTGTGGCCTGGTTCATGGTTTTTGAAACAAAGGATATAAGACTGAAATTTATTTTAAACTACCCCTTCTTCGTGATGTTTTCCAGTTTTACGTTTAGTTAATTCAACATACACATTCATCATTCAAGAGAGTTCGACGATGTAAGAGTGAAGATTCAAGAATTCCTCGAATTGGTGGTCATCTTATTTTGTTTTTGTCGCGGATGCCAATGACCCTTTGATTTTTGACATGGCGGTCACTGAATCTTGTTTTTTCTTCTTGCCGAGGATTTACACTATCTCTCTTTTGATTTTGATTTTTTTTTCTTTTTTATCCCTAATTTTTGTCTGGACCGCTTTTTGAAGCTTTTAGTCCACCAGGATTATCCTAATTTTTGCCTAAGTTGGATATTTGGATGTTTGACTTAGCAGACTTTTTCTTTTCTTTTAAGTTTTTTTAAAGGCTGGTGACTGCCGTGTTATTGGTTATTGAAGAACAACCGACATGATTTTTGGATTTTTGCGATTCCTTTGAGACTTCAAGATGTGTACAAAGAATGATGTGAGGTTGATCCTTAAATGAGATGTTTTCTCTTGTAATTCGTATGCGTAGTCAGATTAACTAAACACTACCCTACCACGAGTTATGCCTAAGGGTTTATAGATCCAAAAGAAACACCAACTTCTAGGCTCAAAGTGGCTAACTGGGGATTAAATCCTTATCTCTCTAGTGTTAGGGGATTTGAAACAAGGCTTGTACATCATCAGCATGATTTTATCCAAAAGCATACCGTTAGCAATTATGGATATTTCGTTTTCGTCGTCCTCCCTCCAATCTTTGCTAAAACAATAGTTTGATAAGTGAAGTGAATTGGAGAACACATGGATGTATTTCTTGTGTGTTTTGCAATAAATGAGAAAAGATGACTGAATACGAAAGGATCCGTTCAAAACATGCATGATCACTTCATTAATCAATACCATTAATAAACAACAACGTTTAAAAACAAGTAGCATTTAATAGACAAAGAAATTATAAATGCAAATGATAAAAATGTCCAAAAATTGCGAGTATTTGAGAAAACTCTCTCATGCTTGTTTCACTGCTGGGATAGCCTTTTTCAGAGTTGGAGGTCGTCATGCTCATTGACGTGGACTTGCACCCATTAGCATTATATATAAGCACATCTCTCCTTCCATCAGAATCACATTCAACGGTTGTCAGCATTTCACATTGAATATTTCAAAAACCATTGTAATTGTCCTTACTATATATGTGACTTTAAGTAAATTCATATACACTTTTCTCTCATACTTACAAAAGTCCACCTCATTCATATATTGAGTTAAATATTGAATTGCTAACTTTTTTTTATGTGTCATTCTCGATCATCAAAAAACTGTCACCACCGCATCCTGAGATCTTTTTATTGTTTTCTATCATAAACCTTTCACCAATTCTATGTTTTCTATGTTTTACAGAATTCTTTAACATTAACTGCAACACATATAGTTGAATGTGTTTATCAATATTTGTCCCCATCCACACATTAAATGTTTTTCATTTTTAATCATATTACTTTTCCCATACATATATAGGATGCACACGCTCAGATAATGATTAGGCAAACAGAAGATTAAAGGGCCAAGCACAGGACACGACAAACTGTTTGTGTAGGTCCAAATGACGGTAAGCCCTTAGCTGTATAGAAAGCAATCTTACGTTTTTAACATCTTCCATTTCAATGCCACAGTGAACTGATCCTATTGATTATTCTTTTTATTTCCCTTAATTTAATTTGCTACCCAATACCTCATCTATAAATATACGACACTTCCCCCTTTCCATTCCACAATCAAATATTTTCTTTCAATAACACATCCTTCATAATAACCACATAACCATGGTCATAATTTTCCCTTTAAGAAACAATGGTGTCTTTTTTATGTTATTATTATTGTGGATTCTTGTATCTGGTGTTTTTGTCTGGGGAAGACCAGCCACTTTTGAGCAAGATTTTCATGTCACGTGGTCAGAGTCCCATATCAAGCAAATTGACCAAGGCAGGACAATCCAACTCATCCTAGACCAAGGCTCTGGTAACTATTATATACATGTCCAAATGTCCAAAACTTTAATATATAATATTTTAATATATACGTATCACAAATATATTTCACAGGTTGCGGGTTTGCTTCCAAGGTGAAATACATGTTTGGGCGTGTTAGCATGAAGATCAAGCTTGTCCCTGGAGATTCTGCTGGCACAGTAACTGCATTTTATGTAAGTTCAAATTAATATCCCTACTCTTTGTTTTAAACTGAGAAAAAGAAAACTGAAAAAACAATGGTGGTTGGTTTGTTGTAGATGAACTCGGACACTGACTCGGTTCGTGATGAGTTGGATTTTGAGTTCTTGGGGAACCGAACTGGACAACCTTACACCGTTCAAACAAACATCTATGCTCATGGAAAAGGTGATAGAGAACAGAGGGTGAACCTTTGGTTTGATCCTGCTGCTGATTTCCATACTTACTCAATCTTGTGGAACCATCACCATATTGTGTAAGCATAATGGTTTAAACTACAAACTTGCATGGATATGATATATTAACTAAACTTGAATATAATACAAATGGCAGGTTTTACATTGATGAAGTTCCAATAAGAGTGTACAAGAATAATGAAGCAAAGGGGATACCATACCCAAAGACGCAGGCGATGGGAGTATTTTCAACATTATGGGAAGCTGATAATTGGGCAACAAGAGGCGGATTAGAGAAAATAGATTGGAGTAAAGCACCTTTCTATGCATATTACAAAGATTTTGACATCGAAGGATGTGCAATACCAGGACCATCTTCATGTGCGAGTAACCCAAGAAACTGGTGGGAAGGAGCAGAATATGAAGGTCTAAATGCAATGGAAGCAAGGAGGTATAGGTGGGTTCGTGTGAATCATATCATCTATGATTATTGCCAAGATAAATCAAGGTACCCAATCACCCCACATGAGTGTTTTGAAGGCATCTAAAAACCCAAAACAAAAAAGGTATACATGTATTATGCTACATTAATTCAACTCGTCGGCAACAATTAGTGGTTCACAACATTCGTTCGTGTGTGCGATATCTATTTACACTGTTTTTGTTGTGTTGTACAAAAAATAAGTGTATATATTATATGTAAAATTAAGCCACAAGCCACAAGTTAGAAGGGGTAAGTTGTATAAGTCAAGGCCCCTTCCGGCTCTTTGTGAGCATTGTTTGTGGTAATAAGAAAGCTTGTGTGCATTATTGCGGTAGCCTAAAGAATAAAATTTTATTGATTTGTTGTTACTATTCTTGTCATAATTATAAGTCACTTTAGTAATATTTGAAAAGTTGTTAAACAAAAGGCTCTTTACAAAATTTTAAATACATTTATTATTGTTATTTTTAAATATATATTTATTTAATATCATAATCAACAAAAGAAATGGATTTGAAAAAGTCATTCATGTTTTCTGTCTTTAAGTATAAGTATTTCGGTTTAACATTATAAAATTGTTTAATAAATATTGAATGCTCTTTATATCTTCGATGAGTATATTGAACAACGTGAAACAATCTAAAATTAACACGTTGGCACATGAATATGAGATATTGTGGATTAAATTTAGAACAGAGTAAAATATTCATCTCCTATTCTCCGAGCAATGTTATCAAGCAACCACTCTACATCAATCAAACTGACACTCCCCCTTATGTTTTTCAAATTCCTCCACCAAAGAGATCCACAACTACGCCCAAAACATAATCGTCTCCGTCCTCACGATACAGAGCACGCAAAACCTTATACCACAGACTTTCCGATTCATTTAGAATCTTCAAACACAATTTACCAAGTAAGGCTAAGTTAAACTCTTTCAACCTTCTAACTCCTAGAACTTTATTTTCTTTTTTCAAACAAATAGTATCTCAATTGATCCACGAAGTTTTTCTCACTCGCCCACACTCCCCCCCCCCCCCTCTAAAAAAAAGAGCATTAAAATGAATTCAAGAGAAAATATGATACTTGAGGGTGCCTTCAAAAAGGAAAGAAAGTAGACCGGAATGGAAGACATGATAGATTTAATAAGAATCAAACGACCATCCATAGAGAGAAAGCGAATCTTCCACCCTAACAACTTTCTTTTGATACAGTCAGTCAAAGGATACCAAAAATTAAGCTTTTTAGAATCTCCACCAATAGATAATTCCAAATACAAAAAAGGTAGACGACTATACTTACAGTTCATAACCCTCGCTGCCTCATGCAACTAAGATTCTGAGATTGATCCCAAGCAACATGAATTTGTGTAAGTTAACTTTTTAACACGAAATAGCTTTAAAAAGAATCAACATTGCCTCAAAAGCTCAAGCATTAGCCCAACTTTTAACCCCCACTAATAATGTATAATCAACAAATTGTAAATGAGAAATAGTAACAACATTTTGTGCCCTCACCCCATACTCTGTATACATATTTTTTTCCACTAAAACATCATCAAAACATGTAACCCTTCAACTGGTAACAGAAAATGAATACTGGAAAGTAGGTCACCTTGACGAAGACCTATTTCCAACTTAAAACCATTAGTTGGGCTACCATTCACAAGCACAAAAGCAGATGTCCCAGTCATACATTCTAAGATCCACTTCCGCTATAGAGTTGAAAACTTCATTTTACACATAACATCATCCAAATACCTCTCGTCCATTAAATCATACGATTTTTCAAAATCAACCTTGAATAATAATAATTCTTTTTCATACTTCGTGCATCGTCCATCATTTCATTAGCTATAAGGATGTCGTTCAAAATCTGCGTATTTTTAGCAAAAGCTGATTGGGACTAAAAAAATAACATTTCCAATTGTGTAAAGTTGTTTTGTAAGTGATATGATTTTAACAAGAACATCAACTTTTGATGATGACAACTAAAGTAGTATAACAAGTCAAGCATTACGATCAAATGGATAAAGATGTAAAACCCTATCATTGGAATTTAATGTACTTGACTATCTGATGATGGCAAATAAAGAATACAACTAAAGGCTTATCTCAAAACCACTCAAACACGTGTCAATATAAAGAGAAGTATCTGAAAAATTCTTGAAGCATTATGGTGATCTCTTATTTTAGTAATGAGTGAACGATTATAAGGTAAAAAGAGATTTTATCGTAAAAGTACAAGGCTAAAGCACATACGCACACTAATCCATTTTCAAAATGCTTTACCAAAATAAAATATTTTGAAAAAAAATACATCTGGAAGTTGTGTCAGATGAATTAAGAGCACTTAAAATAGCCATAGAAGAAATTTTGATTTTTCTAACCGATTAGAACATTTATCTAATCGATTAGAAATGTGAAAAAAGGCCCAAGCTATTTTAAAAGCGCCTTGATTTTGTACAACAACTAGATATCTTAAACTTCCTTTCTAAGAACTTACAAATGATTATTTTCAACTTCTAACCGATTATGAATATGTGTTAATCAATTAGATTGTTGCAAAATGCTTATATTGAAATTTTCTTTTTGAGACAACCTCAGACCTTCAAATCATTCAGAATCGTGTTTTGACACTTTCATCTCTCTCTCTCTCTCTCTCTCTCTCTCTCTCTCTCTCTCTCTCTCTCTAAACATTTCTTTAAATTTCTCTCACTATGTTTTTAGCCTAAGTGCTTTTGTGAGCGAAATTATTTTTGTAGTTCTAGAATCGGTAGAATTATAAAATTTTCCAAGAGATCCTTTTGTGTATACCTTGATTGAATAGTGTCCAATGAGGGATTTGTTTGGGTTAAGGGTAAACCTATAAAAAGCTTATGTTTGGAATTTGGTATTTAAGTCCTAGTTTAGGTTGGAGATTAACATGTATAAAATCTCTTAGGTTTTTGATCAGCCTAATGTTAAAACCAAGATAGATTAAAGCTCAAACCGGTATTAAAAGCTTCATAGATTGGAGATTAGTCTGGTGTTAAAATCTCTTAGGATTTTGGTTAGCTTGTGTAAAACCAAGGTATTAAACTTAAAGGTTTTGAAACTTAAAGACTAATCCATCCAAGGTTTGTGTTTGTAGAGAGAAGATTAACCTCATCAAACCACCATTTGAGAAGGAAAGATTGACAAATTCACTCTCAAGCTTATTCTAAAGAAAAGACGTAAACGCTCATATCTATCAGCTTGTAATTTTGGTTGAAGATTAACCACCTTTTCTTGTATAAGGGGGTTCGTGAGTCTTTTTTTACTAAAAGCTTTCAATGTATTATTGGAAACTCTAAAGATCAATTATTGGAGACATGACTAAGTTATTTTTTATTAAACATGTATAACTCCTGGTGTTCCTTCTTCTTCCCTTTACTCCTTTTATTTCTGTAATTTATTTTCTACATTTTACTTTCCGCTGTTAAGTTTTCAAAATATTTTTAAACTCTGATTTTATTTTTAAAAGGTTTTCAAAACTAAGTTTTTCGATATCACACAATTCATTTACCCTCTTATGTGTGAAGTCTCTAGTCCAAAAAGTAGTATCAAAGTCTAACTTCTGTTTAGGGATTAATCATATCAGAAAGAATGTGACTTCCAACAAGAGATCTTTTTAAACATACCACCACTTTTTAAAAGTAACATATTTGATATTTGACAAACTAGTTTTAAAATTTTTCTTCGAAGCATAAAGCATAAATTATGGAAAACTATTGTCTAATTGCAACTTTTTTTTCTTAAAAAAACTATTTAGCATATTTAAAAGTTATTTTAGACTTAAAATTTTAGGTAAAAATGAATTTTATGTTTTTAGCACAAATTAAGAATTCTAAACTTTTTTAAACCGAACTTGTTTGATACAAATTTATAAAAAAAAAAAAAATTAATCATTCGATTTTTGTGGAGATGAAGTGTACAAGGGTAGGGGTGGGTGTCATTGATATTTCCCCTCAGCAAAATCTGAGTTATTTGACATAGATGTATTATGAGACTGGAATCTAGTTCAAACCCAAGCGTTAAACCCTTGAAGCTTTAAAAATAGAAAAATTTTACCTCATGCTCTTACTTTTTATCTTTATACTCTTATATTTTATAAAAAATATTAATTTTATTTTTATATATTTTTAATTAATTTATTATTCTATTTTTTAAATTTTATTTTGCATATCGGAATACTTTGCAAAAGAGTTCCTTAACAAATATTTTAGAAAATAATTATTAAAACTCTTTTGTAAAGTCTTCCGGTACATAAAAATTAATTACCGGGACTCTTTGACAAAGTCTTCCGATACACAAAATAAAAGTTAAAAAATATTTCAATGACTACCGCAACTCTTTTGCAAAGTCTTCAAGTACACAAAAATTGACTACCGAAACTCTTTTGCAAAGTCTTCCGATACACATAAAAAGTTTTAAAAAATGACTATCAAAACTCTTTTGCAAAATTTTCCGGTACAAAAAAATAAATTAAAAAATGACTACTGGAACTCTTTTATAAAGTCTTTCAGTATACAAAATAAAATTTAAAAAACATAATAAATGGGTTTAATATATAAGGGCAAATGATATTTTTTATAAAATATAGGGATATAGGAATAAAAGTAAAGATATGAGATAAATTTTTCTAAAAATGGATGAAGAAGACTTCCTAATTTATTTATATAATATAAAAAATAATGTTTTAAAAACTAAACTTATTTTAAAATAAAATATAACAAAGAAAAATACTCTAACTAAGTATAGCAATATTGAACTCAATCGTCCGACTGGGGCGGTCTCCAATTTGAATTTGGTCGTTGGATTTTGGATTTAGAGTCCAATTTAATTTTCAAGATCCATTTCATGTGTAAAACATGGATTAAAAATCTTATCTCCACAATTTTAATAATTAATTATTCCCTACATATTATGAATTTATGATATTTTCATCGTATGACTGCATGACAGCAATTTTTTTCTTCTAAAAACATGATTTCACAATGTATTTTAAGACAAACCATAGTTTTATAAACCTTTTGTGTGTAAA